AACAAGCACATGCAACGAAACTAAAGTAAGGGATCAAATGTATGTCACCAACACTTCAACGGTATAAAAAAAAAATACATCATCACGGCTAATTCTATTTTCCATTAATTTGAACTTCATTCCCTTGAGCTTTAAATATGATCATTTCTTAAATGTGGTAGATGAAATAATAGGGTTAGGGACTTAGGGTAAAGGAAAGGGTATTATAGAATAAGGTTAAAAAAAATTAAAATTTTTTTTTTTAGTATTTCTTATCGGTTTATCGATAAACCGATAACCGAAGAGGACAAAATCGAAAACTCGATAAGGAAAATTTCGAAATCGAAATCGAAATCGATAAACCGATATCGATAAACCGATAACAAATAATCGATTCGATTTATCGATAAACCGATTCGAATGCACACCCCTATATCTATCTAGATGTTACTTATTTTTCACATATTTATTTATATTTTACGTAAAAAAAATATTAAATTCAGTTAAACCCGTTAAACTATATGAAAGCCGCATGTGTCTCTCTAGATCTCCCCCACCCCCTCTAGCTTCGAGAAAGTAACAGAATCACTCCAACCTATAAAGATAACCAACCACCCCTAGCCCAAATCCTGGCTTAAGCCAAACCTATTATATTTTTGCCTTCTCTCTTTTCTTTGCCTCTAGCCATTCGATTTTTTACTTTTTTTAAATTTCTTCCTTCTCTTCACTAGGTTTCCATTTGCAAAACATCACTGGTTAATTTCAATTTTCTTCTTCCCTCTATTTTCTTATAGAGGGGTGAGAAGTTTTTTAACGGTTATATATGGAAAATATTAGAAAGTTCTCTAAGGGCTTTTTGGGATTTTTGATACTGCTAGGATTTGTTTGGTTATTGTTGGTTGGAGTATTTGAAAATGAAGGAATTATGAAGAAGAATACCAAACTTATGAAAATACAAAAGAGAAGTATTCATTCCAAGATAGATCTCAACTTCGTGAGTAGAAGAAGAGTTCCAAATGGTCCTGACCCCATCCATAACAGGTTTGCCTTTGATTTCTTTCTGTAATTTTCTACTTTTGCCTCCTCACTCTTTGTTTCCATCATGTTATGCAAATAGTAATTATATCATATACCGTGAGACCTTTCTATAACAACATTCATATATAATAATCATCCACTATAAAAGTTAAGTTTTTTTCAGAACCGATTTTTATGTTATGTTATAATATATATCCTCTATAACAACACTTTACTTTTGCAGAGGCTAAAGATGTTTGACTGTGTATCAGATATATTAAATGTATAAACCACGTCTTATAACCATAAATATTTAGTTTTAATAAACTAGGTCAAAAAAAATTTTATACTATCAATGCAGTTTAACCTGTAACTAACCTATTTTCTTAGGTTATCATTCAATATTAATTATAAGGAATTGTGTACATGTAGTTGGTTTTTTTGTAAATTACCTGATTGTGTAAATGACTTAAACTCTAGTTACGAATTACGATCAACTAATGGACAATTTTTTAACTTCGATTGACAGGAGTGGCTCTAAAATTCATTCATTTTGCCACCTGAAAAGTAAAAGAGGAAGCAAGTTGAAAAATTCAATAAAAGAGAATTAAGACTTCCAGGAGATCTTATAAAATATCAACTATAACTAAATTTGAAGTATTAATAATATAAGCAACGTAACTCTGTAGCCAAATTTGATGTTTTAATAATATAAACAACGTAACTCTCTCGTAAAAAAGACTCATCAAAGTTGCGGTTCCAATATTTTGTTTTTCTCTTCATATTATATCTCTTTTCTTCTTCTTTATGGGGAATATTTCACTTGTTTTGGATTTAATTGGTTAATTTTCATATTAATCCTCATTCCCTAAAGAAAAAAGAGTTAGTTCTCAGTTGTTCATGAGGGCAAATTACATACGTGTTGAAGTGTACGATCGTCTTATCTAAAATTTAAAGTTGTTAGAAATTAAAGAGCCCGCCTTTATTTTATTCAATTATGTCTTCAATATTGTGGAAGTTCAAATTCAGTTTTTAGATATTTATTCTACTTGTATGTATATTTTAAGTAGAGACAAATTAAAGTAGTAGCGTTTGCATGCTTAAATGTTACATCAACTCCTACTTTTAGATTTTGTTCCATATATCAAAGTTATAGTTTACTGAAGTTATGTAACTTTACGTTAATGCATAAATTCTGAGAAAGAAAAAGCATCTGTTCTGCTGTCTTTCACTTTATTCTCTAATTATAAATGAAACTTATCAAAGCTAATTAACCTTTCGTTTTGTTCTCTTGCAATTTACGAGGCCCCTTAACCTTTTCATGCCATCTCTCTTTTTTCCCTTTTGCTTTCTCCTTTATCATGTACTTTCATGAAATTCCATTACCACTAAAGAGATGCAAATCATATAAATATCTTTAGCTAGCAATTGTTTGCTGTGCTTTAGATTTCACCTTACATACACTCCAACATAATAGAAGGGAGCCTTGGCATAACTGGTAAAGTTGTTGCCATGTGACCAGGAGGTCACTAGTTCAAGCCGTGGAAACAGCCTCTTGCAGAAATACAGGATAAGACTGCATACAATAGACCCTCGAGGGGCGTATCTAGGCCTTAGGTATGGGTTCACGTGAACCCATACTCCTCTCCCTAAACTATATATAATAATATTATATATTTTCAAAATTACTTAAATATATGTGCGTGCACCTATGCTCAAAGACTCCTATGGTGCAATATTTATTGGATGCACCACTACGAGTAAAATTGGCGGTTCAAATCTTACTTTGGACGGTCTAGTTTTCGTCATGAAGCATAGATATATATGTGAAAATTACTAAAATTTAAAAAGAATATAATTTTAAACCTATAATTTCAAAATTGTAGTGAGTTTATTCTAAGGGACTAAAGTTAAACACGTGATTCGAGACTATCTCTTCACAATAGTTTACTCATCCTCTTGAAATTCTGGATCCGCCTCTTACCCTCGTGGTCCAGCCCTTCTCCGGGTCCCGCGCATAGCGAGAGCTTAGTGTATTGAGCTGCCCTTTTATACACTCCACGAATACTTTCTTAATGAGATTAACACAGTAATTTGTTTTAAAAAAATATCATATCACCCAAAATATAACTACAAGTTATTGTCTATAAATACATGCCCTGAAAATTAAATAAGGCGGACCACATATTATAACATGTTAAATTATACTGATAATATAAAAAGAAATTATCGTGCTAGTTAGGTAGTGCATTTAAATTTTCTTAATAGAGAATATAATTTTTGTGTAAAATCAATGGGAAAAGATATTCAATAGTTGGTAAATTTATGCAGGAAAGTGAATTTATTTATTTTAATTTTCAACAGAAGAGCGAGGAGTTCTCGTCGGCCACCAGGTCAAGCTTCCAAAGGAAAACTTAGCGAGCCATGAACCAATGGGCAAAGATTATAAGGCTTGTGATATGCTTTTTTTTTTTTTCCTTTTTTTTTTCTTTCTAAATCTGGTATCTAATTGAGGCCAGGTAGAGTCAGTGGTTGATAGGATTTTACTTTAGCGGTGTCGATTTATGTCAAAATTGAGCTAGTACATGAATTTGGACTTGAAGTTATGGAGTGTATATATATAAAGTTTTATTTCCATCTAAAAATTAATATTTATTTTACATTATTTTACTAATGATATTATATTTGTATATAATTTTTAAAATGTATGTATGTTGTACATTAATTAAAAAATTAGGACGATGAGGTGTCCAATGATACCATATATGAAGCAAGAAATTGGACTACTATGTAGAGGGGAGTATGTACTTGAGGGTGTTTGGATTGGCTTTTAAGCTGGTCAAATCAGCTTTTAAGTTGTTTTTACTTTTTTTCAGTGTTTGGCAAAGTTAAAAAAGTACTTAAAATAAGTTAAAAACTGCTTAAAACAAGCCAGAAGCAATAAGCTCGGCAACCCCAACTTATTATTTTTTGGTTTAAAAGCTATTTCTGCTAAAAAACTACTTTTTTAAGCCAATCCAAACGGGTTCCTTGTTTGGGAGGGAAGAGAGAAACATATGAAAATTTGCATGGATTGTGAAAAAGAAAAAGAGAGAGAAATATTTATTTAAATAATTAAGAAGAAAAGATAATGAAGAATGTTTGACAGGAACTGCATATCTTAGCAGCCATGCATTTTATAGAGTACGAATCTCATGTCTATCTTTATGTCAAATTCTCAGTAGCTTTAACATGTAAATAAAGGAGCTTTTATTTCCAATTGCTTGTTAGTTTGCTTAAGAAGAGGCATGTGTTCCAAAACAAAGCAAATCCACCATTTTGAAGGTGTTCTCTAGAGAGGAAAGAAGTACTGGTAAAAATTAAAGGAAAAGTTTTTTTAGGAAACTCGCAGCCGCTACAGCCTCTGCCCTTCGGGTGAGTACTCTGCGGTAAGTACTATGTGTGCACTAGGTAAATCTCCCACTATGTAATAGCATGCAAACCACACAGGGATGTAAACCGCACTAGGCAAGCCCTTTGCAACAAGCTCAGACCTAGAAGGCATTGAGGGGGATCGATCTCCCGTCGCCCGTGTAGACAACACCCTCCAAACCAACTGGGCCGTCCCTTCGGTTAAAGGAAAAGTTGTGTTAGTCCTTTTCATTAGATTCTTTAGTGGGGGATGTGAATACTGTTTTGGTCTTTAATCCGTTCAAACTTGTTGCACAACTTCCATCATTCTCGAGCATCGCAATCAAAATTTACAAGTTTAAAAGAAGAAAAGAAAAGGAAAAGGAAAGTTAAGGCATGTAAAGACCAAGATGGTACTCTCTCCAAAGTTCAAAGTGAAAGACAAAGTAGGCTCTCTACTTGTGCTTTTTCATATGCAAGAACTCTTTTCTTTCTCCTTTAACATCTATTGGAATAATAATTAGCAAAAAAGAGTTGGTCTAAAGTTTTGGAGATTCAAGTTGGGATAATTGCCTAAAAGGGATTAAAAGGAAAAGAGATATTCAGTTGGACTCTTTGGGCCACCACATTTGATTGCGCAAAATACAAAAGTTGTTCGGTCGGTCGAAACTATTTACATTCGTCGCTAACTAAAAAGTATATAAAATATGTATATTATATGTAGCTAATACATATACATACCAAAACTATACATTTTATTGTCCTACTTTTGGGAACAGCTAAAAGTATACAATTTCTCCTCTTAAACACATTCAAAATTTTACCAAAATTTGTCAAAATATAGACAATGGTTCCAAAAAGGTCCATCCAGTGTAATTTTAGGGGCGTTGGCTGGAGTTTCTACTTCCTACGCTGCTTTCCGCGTTGCCACAACCCCCTAATCTGTTTCCAACATAAAAATCATAGTTTTGATGAGAATGTTGATAATTAAATCTCAAAATCTTTCGAAGAGTTTTTTAGATGACGGGTTATTCACATTTTATTTGATGGAGTGAATTAAAAGCTAAGCAGTGGAAAGTCAAATGATTCCCCGAGAAAAAAATAGACATGTCTCCTTTGTTACCCATCGATTACTTTTATACATAATAGACAAGACTATTTTTTCACGTCAAAATAGATTTGAGCAATTCGAAGCATATGAAAATATTTTTGATTTTTTATTTAGCGGTAAAAACTAAGAATAAGCATAATAATCAACTCGATATTGATGATTCATATTTATTATTCGAATTAAAAGTATTAAGGAAAATAGTACAATGTTAGAATATAATAGTTCAATTGGTACACTCAATCAAATAAAACGATCTGGTTCTTTTCCAAATGCCTATATTGCTTATGGATTAATGTTAATAACTCATGTTACCGGTGCTTCAGTGGAAAGAAGTTTTCAAAATTAAAATTGATAAAATCCTACCAAAGATCAACAATGTCTCAAGAAAGGTTAAGTGGATTAGTTATATTGTTAATTGAGAAATGCTTATTAGGAGTTATTGATTATAAGAAAATTATTAATAACTTAGTATCTAAGAAAAGCTAGAAAAATAGACTTCAAATAAATATATAAATAAAAATTTAAATAAAGTTAAGGCCTCTCATAATGTTTGGCTTTAGGCCACAAAATTCGTCGGGCCGCCCTTAGTAAAATGCCTCAAGTGATTGGAAAATCTGAGAGTGTTGCTGCTTGTGTTATGCAGCAGCTAGAGGAGGCCCAACTGATGGTCAATTCTTAGGTGGACGAGGTTCTTAAGGAACAAGAAAAAATGCTCTTCCTTAAGGACGAGGTTCTTAAGGAACAAGAAAAAAGAAAAATGATTGATACAAACAAAAAAGACATACAATTCCATGTGATATGGAAATTGGAATGGACCTGAAAATGCTTTGGCGTAGCTACACGAGTAAGACAGAAAAATGTGACACATTCAGTGAAACTTATAATTGGCATTTAGCTTCATGAATGGCGTGGTATATCTATTTGTTAGGACAAACACAAGATTATATATACCATACAATATGCCAAACACACACACACACACCATATAGAGAAAACCACGAAATTTGAGAACTATGATATTTATGGTCAAAATTATTTGTATTCAATAAGTATTGCATGATCGAATAATTTAATTAAGGAACGATGGATAACGGGAAGTATATCCTTTTTAAGTAATGACTCGTTAGGCAATTGCGGCCAATCGCAGGGCTGCATATTGCCGATGGAATTCAGTTATATCCCCTTAGACGAAAATTTATGCTATATATATGTAGGGGTGTTCATGGTTCGGTTTTGATCGGTTTTTCACTTAAAAGAAACCAAACCAAATAAGTTGGTTTTTCAAATATTAGAACCAAACCAAACCAATTAAGTCGGTTTTTTCTCGATTCGGTTTATGTCGGGTTTTGGTTTTTCGATTTTTTCGGTTATTTGTCGGTTTTTTCTTAAATATAAGACATACACTACCAAACACATATTCCGGCGACCATATTTTCAACGTAACACTATCAAATCAATTGCCCTTTGAGAAATCTATTCTTAGGTGGACGATGTTCTTAAGGAACAAGAAAAAACTTAAAGTCATATCTTGACAATTTAACTTAAAGGAAGTCTTGAGATTTTGAAAAATCCTTTGTTGCTGACTTGCACACCATTTAATCATTTAAGAATTGAGGAAAACTCATCAATTTTGTTCATATTTCGAAATAAATAAACAATAGGGAAGATCATAGTGTTTAAGATGCTCTATCAGGCATTTTGTCAAACAGCCGTAGGGCATAAATCTGTGAATGTAATATCACCATTAGTATATTGTGTAATAATACCCCACACAACTTCCATTCAAACAAACCTATCTCCAAATCACCACACGATCACAACCATAAAATAAAATCAGAACATAGATCCTAAACTCCCAATTTCTCTCTGTAAATACATAGAACACATGCAAATGCAATAAATATGATTAACTTCCTCTGAGAAATCAAAACACTCACAAGAAATAAGGAAGAATTGGAATCCAATTAAGAGAAAGAAAACTGCTAACCTAGAGTTATTCCGATGCGCAGTAGACAAAGAGAAGGAAATAGGGAATTAAGCAAGCAGAGAATACATTTCATACTGCTATTCTTGAAGGATTTTTTGAGATTCATGGCTGAGGTGTAAGGATTTAGACGGGATAGAGAAACCGGGGAGGAAAAAAAATGAACTTCAATTGTAAGAGAGTGAGATTGCGGAGTAGGATTTTTTAGAGATTTGAGAGGGAGATTTGGGGGAAAAAACTATCTTTCTTTTTTGAAACTAGTAATTTTTTTGACATTTGCTGTACATATCACTAATTAAATGTCATTTTATCTTAATTATGTGACATTTCTATCAAATCACAATATTTCTGTCATTTGTCATCAAAAGTTAGTATTTTTGCCACATTTTGTTGACAAATGTCACGAATTGAACCCTCTCCCTACATTTATTATAAATGTCACTAATTAAATGTCGTCATAGCTCATATTTCTTGTAGTGAGCCACATGTTAATCCTAGTTTGAAACCTAATTTCCAACTGGAATGAAACATCCCCACCCCCCAAACTTTTGAAATGAATCATGAACTCGTGACACTAAAAACAGAAGGCAAAATATTAGCCATACGAAACGTGAAGTTTCCAGCAGCCAAAAGATTATCTATCAAATAAGTAGGTAAAGATTCATAAAGCTTACTAGTTTTTTCATCCGCAACTTCATCTGGTTGTTTGCAGAGGCCTATAATAGATAGCACAAAAGCACTTACATGAAAGGATATTCCAACCAAAGTCACTATTTGTGTTGCATAAGCGAAAGTAAAAATTCAGATACTATACTACTTACTATTTATAAGTCTCTCTCTAAAGATATATATGTATAAAAGAGTCAGAACAAGAATGAAAAGGCTTCTCTATTTTTTCTCCCTTCTTTGACTTGACAGCAATCTTGCAAGGACAATTTTTATTGTGATCAGCAGTGTCGAGAGATGAGGATAAACAGATAAACTGAAATTTTCGCAAAAGAGGAACTTGGGGTTTGGGTTGGACAAGGGGAGGAGAAGGGGCATTAATTGTACATGACAACAACCCTAATTAATAGCATTGTTTGTAATAGCAAGGATTTCAAACCATGCATTTCCTCATCCACAAGGGACTCTTTTACTTGCTTGGTTATCTCAAGTGACAACTCTAATCTCCCCTCATTACTTTCTCAGTTTTTTCGTTAAACTTTTCTAAATAATCTTTCGACTAAATATTTTTCACAATTATATTCAACCTTAAAAAGTTAATTTAAAACCAAAGCATACACATAGAGTGAGTGAAGAGACTTCTGCTGGAACTTCCAGGGTTTTAGGACAACCGTAGAATCAGCTTGGCAAGAGAAAAGAGAATGAGAAAGATTACGATAGTGTTGTCATACCCGTAAATAAATGGGAAGAGGTGGGATCATGAGGTGGAGCATGACTAGCAAAAGAGGAGTGTGTGAAGTGTTTCTTACACTTCCAACTTAGCAAGAATAGCAAGTACCCTTATCAGAGACCAAATAAATTATTAACCATGCTTCAAAAATATTAGAAACTAATATTTTAATAATCCACAAACCAACCAACCATCGTACCTTCAGTTTAATCATTTTATCAATTGACAATCAAAATATGACACGACTTGTAAATTGATAAGGCCTGATTTGACAACTAGAGCCAGATGTCAACTAAGATAAGACAATCTCAATTTCAAAACTTTAGGCATCAGACTATGATATACAACACTAATTCAAATACAGCTGTGACATATTAAAGAAAATATGTGATTATTGTTCATAAGTCCCACTTTTTAAAAATATAATGTTGTACCCCTGTATGAAAATAAAAATATAACTAGGGACCTTTTCTCTCAGCAATATTTTGGCGCTGAGACTTTATTTATATGTCAATGAAATCTGTTACCAATTTAAAAAAATAAAAAAAATAAAATGGTCATTTAACTTACCTTCAATCTATCCTGAGTTGGCCTCAGCCTCGTCATCTCCATTACCACCTCCGCCTCTATATAAGGGAACAAGGATTCCCAAACAGACAAAGAATTTAAAACGGATGAAACTCTCACCAGTAATCTCGAGACATTCGAGTGAGGAATTTTCTGAATTACACCACATGAGCTTATGAAGGTAGCAAGAATTCTCATTGCTAAACATGTTGATATGCAGAAGGACTTTCTTGACACTCAGATGAATATGCAATTGGCTTCACAACATTGCACCCTCTACCTCCAATATCCAATTGAAATAATTTCACCCAAGACTCTTTGCTTCCATAGTCCTTCATCGACCATATCATAACATGTGCTAAGTGGTCAGGGTCGTATTTCCCAGCGTATGAACAAACCAAAAAAAAGCATCCTTTCAACACAGCCAAACACACAACTAATGGATCACCAAAAGGCTCATGATTTTTCTTCTTTTTCTTTTTCTTTTTCCTTTACGATGAAGTTGAACCACCAAGATCCCCACCAAAATTCTCAGGAAATGACAACTGATCGAATCTCTCATTTGCAAGATTAAAACCTACAAAAGTCCTCCCGCCAAAAGAACTCGTACCTCCAATCCAGTACAATATACCTCCGAAAAATAAGCCAGAATCACTAAAACTGTACGGACAATCCTCAAGTTGCTTCCATGAATCCAACTTCAGATATAAATCGTTGTCGCATAATCACTCCACCCAGGCCCAGGCCGTTTGACAATTTGAACCACTTTATAATCCTCCGTAGAGCTATCATACCCTAAACTAGCAGGACTAAATTCCCTACCTCCGAACCAAATGCTACAAACCGGCAATCTACGAAACCCCTTAGTGGATGGATCATACAGGGCATATAAATTACTCTCTCCATTTCAATTAGATGAGGTAGTTTGACTCGGCACGGAATTTAAATAAAAACAGACTTTTAACTTGTGATCTTAAAAGCTTAAGGGGTAAAAGCTTTGTGGGGCCATGACATTTGTGTGGTTATAAAAGCTTCTCATTAAGGGTAAAATAGGTAAAATGAAGAGTTTAAAGTTGAATTATTTTTAATTGTAGAAATGTGTCATTCTTTTTGGAATGAACTAATAAGGAAAGTGTGTCATCTAAATGTAACGACCTGACCGGTTGTTTTGAGTATTGTAGCCCCGTTCCCCTATTTATTGCTTATTCTATGTTCACTTGTGGTTACGTGACTTAACGGAGTGGTTGGTTTGGTTCCGGGAATGTTTCCGAGTGAATTGGGACACTTAGTCCCAATGTTGGAAGCTTAATTTGAACAAGTTGACAAGAGTTTGACTTTTGTATAAACGGCCTCTAGAATGGAGTTTGATGGTTCTGATAGCCTCGCATGGTGATTTTGGACTTAGGCGTATGTCCGGATTTGGATTTGGAGATCTGTAGGTTGATTTGGTGCATTTTGGCGAAAGTTGGAAACTTGAAGGTTTGGAAGGTTGAGGGGTTTGACCAAGAGTTGACTTTGTTGATACCCGATTCAGATTTTGGTTCTGGGAGTTGGATTAGGTATGTTGTGTTATTAGGGACTAATGTGCAAAATTTGAGATCATTCGGAGTTGATTTGATATAGTTCGAAATTAGTTTTAGAAGTTTGAAGTTCATTAGCTTTATTAGGCTTAAATTGGGGTGATTTGTGGTTTTGATGTTGTTTGATGTTATTTGAGGCTTCGACTATGTTCGTATCGTGTTTTAGGATGTGTTGGTATGTTTGGATGGGGTCCCAAGGGCCTCGAGTGTGATTCTGATTGAATTCGGATTAGTTTTGGTCTTGAAGTGCTAGTGTAATGACCCGGCCGATCGTTTTGAGAGTTATTGCCCTTTCCCCTATTTACTGCTCATTTTTTGCTTTACAATTATAATATGACTTACCAGTTTGACGGTTCGGGTCCGGAGGGATTTAGGAATGAATTGAAATACTTTGACTCTAAGTTGGAAGCTTAAGTTGAAAAGGTTGATCGGATGTTGGCTTATGTGTAAACGACTCCGGAATGGAGTTTTGATGGTTATGTTAGTTTCGTTGGGTGATTTTGGACTTAGGAACATGTTCGGATTGTGATTTGGAGGTCCGTAGTTGAATTAGGCTTGAAATGGCGAAAGTTGGATTTTTTGAAAAGTTTGACCAGGAGTGGACTTTTTGATATCGGGGTCAGATTGGAGTTGCGAAAGTTGGAGTAGGTCCATGGCATCATTTTTGACTTGTGTGAAAGATTTGGGGTCAATTGGATGTGATGTGACAGGTTTCGACGTCGTTTGTAGATATTAAGAGTTCAAAGTTCATTAGGCTTGAATCTTTGTGTGATTCGTGTTTTTGATGTTATTTGAGATAATTTGAGGGCTCGGCTAAGTTCATATGATGTTTTAAGACTTGTTGTAACATTTGGTTGAGGTCCCGGGGGCCTCGGGTTGATTTCGGATGGTTTCCGGACCAAGGTTTGAAGTTGAAGACTGCTGAAGTTGGGTTATGCTGGTGTAACCGCACTTGCTGAGCTTTAATCGCAGATGCGAGGAGGGCAGCACAGATGCGGAGGTTTGGAGAGGTGTGAGCAGTGGCCGCAGGTAGGTTTTTCCGGACTTGCGTGACCGCAGATTGGGGCACCGCAGAAGCGAGAATAGGCAGGGGAGCTGAGTCCGCAGAAGCGGACTGGATGTCCGCAGGAGCGTGTTGAGGGACCGCAGAAGTGGATGGATCCACAGATGCATTTGAAATGTCGTTTATGTGACGCCGCAAAGCCGGCTAAGTTGTCGCAGGTGCGGAAAGCCTGGCAGAACATATAAAAGAAAGAGTCCGCGATTTTTCTTCATTTTGGACATTCCAAGCTCAGTCTAAGACGATTTTTGAGAGGGTTTTTGAGGAGATTCTTGAGGTAAGTCACTTTTGTTCATTTTTATTTAATAATCTTGTTTCCCCATTGATTTTTCCCACCTAGATTGTGTGGTATTGAGGTGAAATTTGGGGATTTGAGGCTAGGGATTTGGAGAGTTGATTTGGGGGATTTGGGTGATGATTTGGTGTTGGATTTTGATAAAATTTGTATGGTTGAACTCGTGGTTGAATGGGCTTTCGGGTTTTGTAACTTTTGACAGATTTCCAAGACATGGTCCCGGGGGCCGGCTTTGAGCCGATTTTAGATTTTGATTAATAACTTCGTATTTTCTTGTGGAATTGATTCCTTTAGCCCGTATTGATCGTATCATAATGTTTGTGGCTAGATTTGGGACATTTGGAGGCCGATTTGCGAGGCAAAGGTTTGTTGGAGTAAAGTTGTGCTCGGAGTGAGGTAAGTAACACTTCTAAACTTGGCTCTAAGGGTTCAAAACCCCCGAATTACGTGTTATATGATTGATGTTGAGGTGACGCACATGCCAAGTGACAGGCATGCGAGCGTGCACCATGAGAATTGTGACCTAGTCGATTCCGTGGCACCGTATAACGGATTTATCTTGTTGATATCCGTGCTTTCATCATGTGATAAAGTAATTGAGTTGTCTATCATGCTAGATATCATGTTTAGGCTATATGTTGGTACTGTTGGGACCCATAGTGGTAGTTTCTTGATGTTGACTTATTGATTTCATTGAAATTTCGTACTCAATCATATTCATTCATTACATATCATACCTCAGTATCTGTTGCTATT